CCCACTGTATGATCTCTGATTCCACCTATTACGAAGTTTTTAAGGAGAACAGATCTAGTAGCAACATAGTTGCACATAATTTTCATTATTAAAAAAATATGTGTCGGTATTTGGGTATTTTTTCCTTCCACTAGCTACCGAAAAAACAGTTTTGCTAATTAGTTAGCATCATGGCCTATCTAGGAGCCTAGATCAGGGGCCGCAAGGTATGCTTCCCCGAACAGGAGAGGGACCCCTCCCTGGTAAGGTATGCTCTCCCCGAAAACTCGGGGAAAGGCAATGCCACCGGTTCTCGGGGATGTCTCCCGGACTGCATGTCAATCACGGGGATATCTCCCCGATTGCATGTCAATCGGGGAGATATCCCCGAGAACCGGTGGGCGTGGCCTTTCCCCGAGAGTTTTCGGGGAGAGCATACCTTACCAGGGAGGGTCCCTCTCCTGTTCGGGGAAGCATACCTTACGATCCCAGGACTGATCAAATACTATCGCGCGGCATTTTTCCTTCATTCACGTATCCCATGAAATGAAGTGCGGCCTTTAAGGCCTTTAAACTCACAACACCTCTGGAAACTGTTTTTAAATAAAGGTTTATTTGATAGAAATGATATCACATCCGCAATAACCCACGCGAAAAGAAACAATTGTGAAGGAATGACATATATAAGACTATAAAGAGAAAAAAGGTTGCAAGAAGCCAGGTAATACGGTCTGATGACTAGGTAAAGCATTCACATATGAGCTGGAGTTTAATTGACAAAGAAAAACAGATACAAAAGACCTTTTACGTAGCCGATAATCTCCTGGCTTCCTAGCTTGGATTCACCGAAACAACGATCCACAAATGAGATCGGAACCTCACCTATTTTGTAGCCCTTCTTGCTAGCCCGGAACATCATTTCCATCTGGAATAATAGCGATTCAGAGAAAAAACCAAGCTGCATAAATGTAAGAATGAGTGCAACTGCTTAAAATGCTGAAAAGCCAGGCTCACCTGAAATACGTATCCTTTACTGACACTTTCACTTATTAAACAAGCAAGCACGTTCTTTTCGATACAGTCTGAACGAGCCTGTCAAATCTGATACACCAGGGTTGAGTAGGAACTGAAACTACATTTAATTAATACAATTACTTGAGACGATGATTCGATGTGGGATAAGAGAGGAGCATAAATAGCTCCAGGCAGAAAATTGCTGTAGCTCATCGACGCCATCAAGTGACCCCAGACCGGACCATAGCAAATTTAAACCACCAGTTGCAGTTTTGATGCGGGAAATTCTCCGTTGTTAGCCTTTGGTTATGCTACGGAAAAACTTTGGGCAACTTATTCATAACCTTTCGATTTTTTTTCCGTCATCACTCATCAACTGATCTGTTCCATATGATGACGTAATGATATTTCATCAAGATTTGACAGACTTTGAGAAGAATTGAATTAGAGGGATGCCATAACCGATGAATACTGACTTGTGCTAGGAAGTTAGCTCCTTTACTTATTGTCTTTCTTTTGACATCCCAACCATAAACTCCTCCAGACAGAGCATACCGCGTCCCTGTTACAATATCAAGCTGAAAAAGGCAGGTCTCGGAGTTACGCAAATCAGAGCACAGCAAAGAAAAACAGTTTCGAACCTACATTCTCCCTTTTTTGAAGTTCAATCATCTCAGGTATAAATTTAGGGTGATGAGATAAATCAGCATCCATGAGAACAATGAAGCTAAATTACACGGATAAATTGTTATGATCGACTGTAAGCAAATACTTGAACTACATTAGCATTTCCTTTGGAAAAATATACTTCGCATAAGACAGCACACATCTAGATCACGATAAAAGGACGATTTTATATGAGCTTTAGCGAGGCCCAACGCGGCATTCATAGCCGGCGTTAGCAAAAACTGGGGCTGTACACCATCCTTCCCCTGTCCAGAGGATTGAGACATGCCTTCAAGTTTAATTATGTTCATCATACACTTTCTTAAATTTTAGTACATGTTTACTTTTACCTACATGTACAACACAATTGGGACCTTTCCTTGGAAATACCGGTTGAAAAGGAAAAAAAAAAGGATAAAGCATTTGCCGTTGATCAATCCCTTTTTGGGATGCGGCACGCATTCTACTTCCATTTGTACATTCGCAGTGGCGTTTGAATGCGATGTGGCCTATACAATGACTTGCGGGGGCCAGCCGATGTTCAAGTCAGTGTTTTTATCCTCCCAGACAAGTCTGGTACCAATTAACCGACCCCGGAGGGATGGAAGGCTTGGTTGGCCCGGGCGACTCACGACCCAGGATTTGATCCCCGGACCGCTCGCGTGGTGAGCGCGCCACTTGTCACTACACCACTTCCGCCCTTTTGTGAAATAATGGTTGAAAATAAAAAAACTTCGAAGAATGTATTTTTAGTTCGCCTCTAGGCAGGTTAGGATAGCCCTTGGGAATTCTAAAAAATGAACGGATAAGCCTGATTAGATTACACTGATAACGAAACCAGAGTGTCGAAGTTCGCTCAAAGGAATGAATAACCGAATGTATGCATGCCTAAAGCATTGTTCATTGTGTACGACTTCACAGAATCGAAAATCGTGAACATATATACAAAATGCTCAATCGACTATTTAACCCTTTCCGGACCGCGCACTTTTTGCGCTCACGGCCGCATGCTGCGCGGCAAGCATAAATATCATATATTTAATCTGTATTCCCACTAAAGCCATTATTTTGTCTCGTTTATGTCTTTGTCATGTCTCGAAGAATATATAAGATTAATTTGACAGAAAACTGTTTTGCAAAAAAAGGGAAAGGGCCATAAAAAGGGAGGAAGGGACGAAAATTGTTCAAAATAAGTTGGTATGGAGAAAAAGGGAGTAGAACGTGCCCAAAACGATTGGATCCATAAGAATCAGATACGACGAGCAGGATATTTCACAAATTCTTCGTTTTTAAGTGTTTTCAAGCGAACTACAACTGTTTTCTTTGAGCCCAAAGTGGAAGTCCATTTACTCTTTGGTTATTTTAGAAATCCTTTTATTTACTTTTTGGTTATTTTAGAACCTAGATTAAACCTAAAGTCTAGGTTTTTTCATACATATGGCATGAGTCTGTTACATAGGTATGTAACAACATAAAATATTTTATCGAAAAACCAAACTCTTGGAAAAATCAGCTCTTGAAGTTCCTGACACACCATGTGTGTCAGGCGGTCCGGAAAGGGTTAAAAGGTAATTTTAGTGAACGCTGTGGCTCTTGTTTCCCCGGTGTTTCAAGGAATTCAGAGAAATTGCGCGACAACTCCAATTCTTATCGTTGGACTTTCCTGTTCGCCGGCAGTGTGTTTGAACATGGTTTCATGTCCAAGCGGCACGCCTCTTTTGACAGTTCCACTAGACATTAACTTCCCAATTACAAATATACGATTTCTGACTTACTTTCCTCTCGCGTATTTGAGACCATGAATATAGGCTGTGCCTAGACCAAGTTTGCCTTCCCTGGGCTTGAGCACGATCTTTTCACTGCCATACTCGGAGCGAAGTCGTTCTGCCACCTCTTGGGTGCCATCAGGACTTGCGTCGTCAATGATGATAACCTGTTTCAAGGAATCAATCCATCAACAAATCAAGAAAAAAAATCAAATGGATGAAACAAAATCCAAATCAAAAATACGCGAAGAAAATCAACGGTTCCAAAACAACAAAAAACAGAAATAAGACCACAAACCTCATAATTCACATCCCTTAAATATTTCTCTAGCAGCCACACACAAATTGGGAGATTCTCCCTCTCATTATACGTTGGCAATAAAACTGTATACTCAGGAGCCATATAGCTACAAAGAAATTTATCACTATTAACTGCAAAACACTGCATTTCGAAGAAAATATGTGATGGAAACACATCAACAAAAACATACAGATAGAAAAGGGTTTATTGAGGCAATCTTCTCAAACTATGGCAACCATAATAGACTATGTTTTCTTATCCTTGCTCTTCGACGTGCTTTTTGATTCGGAAGGAGGATTCCAAAATCTCATGTACTCATTTGGATCGAAATTGTCATCTATCGACTCCTACAAAGACAAATAATTCATTTGCGATTTCAAATCAATTTACAATTTACATGAATCAACCAAATGTGAAGGCGTAGCTCCGCCAACGTCCATTGCACCCTCTCCCACTTAATGAAAGTGTCGACGTTGGAGTGCATGCAATTGCACTCTGACTAGCACTTTCCAAAGAATCCTTTCTACCTGGTTTTGGCTAAGTTGTGATGTAGCACAAAATACGCTCACCAGTCAAACATGGAATGGTCATTATATAAATTTACAATTTACGCACCAAGTTCTCCTCTTCAATATGGAACGACAACTGAAAATAATATGAGTGACTAGATTCTGACCTGAACAATCTTTTTGGTTTTAGGCTTCCTTGCAGCTAGTCTGTGCCGTTTTTCTTCTTCAGTCAACGCATTCAAATCTACTGGAAGTTGCACCACCTAAAAGAGCTGATGGAGCAATACAAGCAAAGATCACATTCAAAGAATCTCCCAGTGTAACGGAAACTGTTGAATGGATTTCATCTAGTAGTTGTATCAATTATTGTGGCAATTGTGTTGATTAGTAGATGGCCAAAGACCATGGGTGAGAAATTGGATTTTAAACCAGTTTCTTCGAGAGTCTAATGTAGGAGTGGTTCTACAAGTATGTTAAACAAATAAAGAGGATAGGCATGGCAGAAGATGATGACTCCACTGCTTCCTTTGCAAAGACTTCTGGCCATAAAGAGAGGGTCGTTAGGATTGAGTATGTTCCCATTACTTCAATGGAGAAAAAAATGTACGCAGCAACTCGTTTTGAATGGACAGAAAAAGAATTTTGATGGCGTTTATGAAGGACATATAATGCCTATAGTTTCTAAAAGTCTCCCATAAGAAGCAGATAAAGCACCGTTTATGTAAAACCACTCACTCCACGTGGTTCCAGGTAGCGAATTTCTATAGTTGACCCGTCCGGTCTGATGAGTGTCACCGGGTAGTGTCGCAAGTGTTGAGAGCGAGATATTTTCCCAAGGCAGGCACGCCATGCATTGCTACGTTCTAAATAAACATTTCTGAAGCTGTTTAAAATCTGTTCATGAAACTCTGAATAAGCCACTGGTACCTTGAACAGTTGCTGAACAGCTAGACGTGGGAACAAGGAACTGATACAAAAGCTGTCTACTGGTCAGTGCCAATCGCGAATTCAGCATTGTCCTCGAATCACACAACTACGAATGAAGCTCGAAACATTCAATCCTACAAGTTTCTGCTGCAAAGAGAAATTTTCAGCAGAACTGCTCCATTCCAACCCACGTTGGACAAACGTTGTGCCGGCGGCAGCAGCGCAGTCGGGGGCACGGAGCGCGAAAACTATTATGACACCAAGGAAGAACGTCGAGGAACTAGTGAGAATAGGGTCAGTAGGTTCTCAAGCAGAGAAGGGATGGAACTTGCTCGCACTGTAATACATACAATGGAACTTGTGATTCTTGAGTATGACCCTTCAGTAAAAGAGGATGAGTAAAGAAACCCAAAACTTCCCATTCTCACGAGGACTTCACACTTCACATCTTATTAGAATACCAACACCGATGTATGAGCCGGAATATACGCCGATTTTTGAGTATAAGGAACCTTTTTTTACTGAAGCTGAGTTTTAATGAAAGAAGGAAGCCTGGGGTAGGTACTTATGCATATTATTTGAGTTCATCAAAAAAGGCAAATCCATCCTTCCTCCGGCTCGCATAGCACCCCACCGCATGTGAGAATGACTGGTATTTGACGTGAATTCGTCCCTGTGAGACGGTACAGAGGTACAATGAATGATAAGGAAAATCACCAGAATCCTTAATTCAAAATACCATCCAGCAGTCGTGTTCGCTTTGATCTCACTAAGTCAATAGTCGATAGAGGCCTTGAGTAGCATGCGCTGCGCCTTTGACTTATTTTCGTCGATCCTCCCACTTCACGATTCTCCTGTGCGTCTCCTGCTCATCGATCCATATTTCAATTTATTTCGCCTCTGCGTTTTTTTTTTCGCGCAAGCGGGCATCTCTAAACAGGGCCTAACCGAGGGTTTGGCCTAAACTCCAAGCAAAACACAATCTGTTCCATCACCATTCCACTTCATCCATTGCTCTCTCTTGCCAGCCTTTCCCAGTTCTTGCGATTTTGCTGTATACAACTTTTGAAATCTCGTTTCGTTCTCACAAATCTCGCACTGATCATAGCACGTCCTTAATTAACCATGCTTCCTCAAACTCTGTCGCTGGGGTGTGTGAACAATGTCGCTTCCGCTTTGACAGCTGCCCTGGAGCAGCCCCTCAGATTGTTGTGAGAACCGCGAACCGTTGCACTACAAGCCTCCGTATTGTCATGAAGTCCGAGATTTGATAAGTGACCGCATCATTCCAGAATTCGTCATTCTTTAGAATTTTCCTCCTCTTGTATGTTAACGTTCTTGTGCCAAATTTGCCAGATTTGCAAACAGCTGCAGTGATAGGCAGCCGTTTTGCTGCAATGGAGAAACAACGCGATCGTAGACAAGTATAACCACAAGGAGATAATTACCCCACACAAACATATTTTCAAACAATCAACGATTTATTGATCAACAAAACAAAAAACAACTCAGCGCCTACGGTGGACAGTACGCTTGACCCTAGGCCGAGGTGGGAGGATGATGCCGTCGTACTGAAAATGAAGAGCATAAGAAACATATTGATTATCTAAATTGCTCAAAAACCAAACAGACAAATTCTTCGTACCTTCTGCTGGAACCACTTGACGGCTTCCTCGCGACTTACACGATGAGAAGGTCCAACACGGCCGGGAGCACGTCTTCTCTTGGCCACACGACGCCCAGCACGATCGAGCACTACGTAGAAATCCATGCCATAAATTCCAATGGCTGGATCATACTTGATGCCAAGGTCGATGTGCTCCTTAAATAGAGTGAAAGCTTGATTTTGCATGGGAAGCCTTGCACGAAGTAACAACACACCAAAACAATGAGACGTAGACCAAAAGTAACTTACCTGGATGCCAAATCCGAAATTTCCCGAATCGGAGAAATTCTCTCTGTAGAGCTCGAATTCCTTGACTTTCAACCCTTTTTCTAGTATTTCTTCGGCTTTCGGCCCACGAACGGTGCAGTGCACGGCAATCTTTTCGTTTCTTCTGATACCAAAAGAACGAACAGTGTACCGAGCCTTTGAAAACACAGGAGTCTGTCCAGTCAGCTGCTCCAACACCTTGAACGACTCAGTACATGGGAGTTGGCAAGACAAGCAAAGTCATCTTACCTTGGCAGCACGAGTAAGCCGATCACCAGATTCCCCCACACAAATGTTAAGGCAGAGTTTCTGGATTCTAGTTTCCCTCATCACATTTTTAGCCTTCTTTTCACGAATCTCAGCAAGTTTCTCGGCGTCAGTCATCCTAATACGTCTCACGAAAGGAGAAAATCGTGCTACTGCTACTTAAAACAAGTATCCGTCAGTATATTAGCATTATAACTCTGAAGGGAGGACCCGAGTGTTTCATGGAAATGAAAAACCGGATACAACTTGAACCACCGAACGCTAGGCACCTACACAGTGCAGCGTAGAAAGTTCAAAAAATGAACAGTACCATCACTACAGCACGCTTATCGCAAATGTGTAATCCATTTCTGGCGCATCCGCAACAGAGCGCCAATTTGCTGCCAAAGTGTGCCTAGATGCGAGTCCGCGCGCACCCGCCAGCGCCCCAAAGGAGCAACAAAACGCCATTGCTAGAATAGCGAATGGGGCACTGGATAGCTAACTACTAAGTTTACAACAAATTTTGGAAACAGAGGTTGCTCAAAAACGGCAAACAATAGCGCCATCACCAAAAACGATTGCCTCATTCGTCATCAACGCGCCGAATTACCTCTATAGGCTGTTTTGACCTTGATTTTGGGATTTCGAGGTTTAGATTAGTTCTGTTGAAATTGGACGCTATCGAAAGAAACGGGTTGTTCTACCTACTTCGGGGAGGCCGATTTGGTAAGTGAGTAAAAAAATTTGAAAATCAATGTAAAACAGTTCCCCTCTTGTTGTTGAATCAACGGAGCAAAAGGTCTCCAGAGCGGGGCAAAGGGTAGAGCCCCCAATGATGACGTATCGCACTTTTGGTTTTCCCCAAAGTTTCCGCTCGGCGCCTCCGAGGCTCGATCCCTAGATGATCGTCACCTATCTTTAGCGGCGATGCCCCCCCCAGGCTTCTATTGAGCTGTCGACACACAAGACAACTACTTCACACGCAGCGCCAAAGAAACGATGTGATAGCCCCGTTTCGGCTACCAAAAAGGCGACCGTCCATACAAACTTGCTTTTCAGCCCTGGCTTGTGGAAATGTTTGTCAACTTCTATCTGCCTAAGGGTGCCTGTGGCAAGTTAAAAATCAATTTGACACACACCCTGGAAAACTCCCCACCAGCACATCGACGAGAAGGGCAGCCGCGTTGCCCACCGCCGTCTTCTCAGTCAGACGCTAAGGATATGAACACAAGTACACCACCAAGACCTGCACCAACATTAGTGACCGCACTCACTAACGTATTCAAGTGCAAAAGACTGAGCCCAAGGCGCGGTGCCCCAGCACAACTGATTAAAAATGCAACCATCACGAAAGCCGTAGCCATCCCAACCAAACAGCGCAGTTCACGCTCGCCACCAGCCACGACCGCCGGTCCCGATTCCTGAAAGAAACACAACCAAGCCCAGCCGCGCCACCCTGCGTCGATCTGACCCACAGTTTGCACTTGTTATACAATAGATCTCTCATGGCCGATGGTTGGAATTATTGATACCCCGCTCGCTAAAAACTCCGGGTGGGATTTTTTTGAACGAGCAAAGGATAGGCCTAAGAATCGCGTGCTCAAGGCAACCACCGTGCCGCCCACACACACACTCCCCCGTTGGACCTCCCCGCGATTGTAACAACTAGCCCAGATTCTGAGGAGAACCAATCAGTCAGCGATCATCTTTCTAGCGAACGTACACAATAGGCCAAGCGAAAATCGCTGCGCGGCGACAGCATTCTTCTTCGGCCGGGGATTGTACGACATCTAATCCCCTTTTGGTGTGGAGGGAACCTGGTAGTAAGAATGCGTGAGCCAGGGGGAATGGGGCCAATTCAGGGGGTGGGGGGTGTGAGCCACTTAACCTGTGGCAAAAGTTTGGGCCTTAGTGTCTGGTGTCTGGCCTTGTGAAGGGAGACGCAGAGGAGCAAAAGGATTAGATGTCACAAGACCCTTCGGCGGAAGCAGCCAAAGTCGCTCTGGAGCGAGGATTTTTCCAATTCAGATTTTTCATCTAGCCATGGGGTTATTTTTGTTTCTGTGCAAGGACGCTTAGATAGATTCTCCCACATGCGTGCGTAGTTCCACCATCAGGGACGTTTGATTAGGGGACCACAACACCATAAATAAAGCCTTCGCAGCTCTTGTTTTAACTTGCTAAACTCGAACCAACGTGTCTTCAGCCATCTAACAAGTAAACGCTGCACTTTGCGTGTATGGTGTGACTTCGCCTATCTTGTCAGGACCTGTATTACTGCAGTTATCGGGCCAGTGTAGTGATGGTTAGCCCAAATGGAGCAGCTACCGTACACGCGACCACAGATTCACGAACTATGAACGGAGTATTGCTATGGCGAGTTTAATATTAGGAGACTCGAATTAAGAAGTCAAACCCGATCAAAAGCTGGATGTGGAGGGTAGAATTGTTTGGAAACATCTCTCGAGTGTGCAGTTTGCACTCGAGGTTGCTGAAATATTTGGAGTTGGGATTTATCTTATCTACCAAAAGGTAAATGGCAGCTGAAATAAGCAGCCGAACTGGCCCTTCTCTAGGAGCCATGCAAGGTAACCGACAGGAGGCCCGTCGCGCGACAAGAAGGCAGAGTCAGCGGACGAGTCGCAGCGCGTACTGTAGTGATTTCGCGTCAAGTTAAATAGAATGTACCATTGTACGTCCTACATCGCACATCACGCGCTGCGACTCGTCCGCTGACTCTGCCTTCTTGCCGCGCGACGGGCCTACCTGTCGGGAACCGAACCGTTCATATGCAAGGTGATGTTTACAGACGCCGCCGGGCCCCAGGGGCGGTCACAGAACAATGGAGTCGTACAATCAACCCTTTTGTTCTTCCCAAGACCTGGAATCTTCTGTGGTCTCGTTCTCCCTCGCTGAGCGCCCACGTGAAGGCCAAAAGTGGTGAGGAATGGTCGTAGGTTCGATTCCGCGTGGTGATAAAATTTTTACATTTTAGTTGGAGCTTGCGAATTCACTCCAACTAGCACCAGTGCCAATAGTAGGTATCATATTCATTATCAGGGCCACCAGTAACTATTAAAACCAGCTTTTAGATAGGATCTGGGGAAAAGTTGTAGGGCGTCAAAGGCGCCGAAGCGGTAAATTGGCCCATTCTCAAGAGATGGATGCCATCTATCCGTGATCAGAGATTGGATGTTATGGTATTTGAGGAGGATTACGAATAAAACTCGTTTCCTAGTCGCTGCCTGAGTGCTCTATAGGCTTGCGACTATCACTGGCTCAGAAAGTACGAAGTTCTTAAAGAGCGCTCCGCGACTAAGACCTCGGTCAGACTCGGCGATTGCGTCGCTGGACACCAGCGACGGAGCCGCCAGCGACGGAGCCGCCAGCGACGGAGCCGCCAGCGACGGAGCCGCCAGCGACGGAGCCGCCAGCGACGGAGCCGCCAGCGACGGAGCCGCCAGCGACGGAGCCGCCAGCGACGGAGCCGCCAGCGACGGAGCCGCCAGCGACGGAGCCGCCAGCGACGGAGCCGCCAGCGACGGAGCCGCCAGCGACGGAGCCGCCAGCGACGGAGCCGCCAGCGACGGAGCCGCCAGCGACGGAGCCGCCAGCGACGGAGCCGCCAGCCACAAGAGTGGGCAACGGGCGATGACTCATCACACGATCGATATCGGTTGGCAGGGGGGAGATTAACCCTTTGACGACAATGCGGATTTGGACGTAGCGTGCAAAAAAGACAAAATGTAACTACAGATGAGAGCTTTCATAGTACACATTGTTGGGAAACGAATTGAACGTTTGGAAGGCTAACTCGGATTTCAAAGGGATGGTGGGTAAAAACTCTAGAAGTTCATACGTACAAAAGTATTTTGATATAGTTCAAACTCCTCATTGTGTCTTAAAACTATGAAAAGACTTAGAGGTCCTGATCGCTAATTTACCTTAAGCTTAATTATGTAAAAGACTAGTTATTATGTCGCCGAGCGAAGTGCCACATTCCAAAATTTCATACAAATTAGTAGTGTGATCGATCGATCGTGTGATGAGTCATCGCCCGTTGCCCACTCTTGTGGCTGGCGGCTCCGTCGCTGGCGGCTCCGTCGCTGGCGGCTCCGTCGCTGGCGGCTCCGTCGCTGGCGGCTCCGTCGCTGGCGGCTCCGTCGCTGGCGGCTCCGTCGCTGGCGGCTCCGTCGCTGGCGGCTCCGTCGCTGGCGGCTCCGTCGCTGGCGGCTCCGTCGCTGGCGGCTCCGTCGCTGGCGGCTCCGTCGCTGGCGGCTCCGTCGCTGGTGTCCAGCGACGCAATCGCCGAGTCTGACCGAGGTCTGAAGCGGGCTGCCTGTTCCATCCAGGTGGGTAGTAGGTACGTGGACATGTGATGTCGGGCCCCCTTTTGCGGCTTGAAAAATACGCGACAAAGGCGCAAGGAGCTCGTCCAACCCGCAACTCACACCTTCGTCCGCAAGCCCCACCCTTCGCTGTCGGTTGCCACGTGGCGCTGCTTGCAAAGCGCGGGCGCATTTTGAAGGCAGTGGTCCCAGCGCGATCCAATGTTATTGACACTGGACACTGGAGCAAGTTAGGTTCGTGAAACTCGTCCAATTCGCCTCTTCTCTATCCCAAGGTGGAATGTGGCTGAAATAGGGGAGGTCTCTGTACGGGGCGTAATCGGTGGTTTCGTTTGCTTTCCTTCTCTTTTACAGACCACCTCCCACCTATAGCTTCATAACTGAACGCTTTTCCACACCTATTTTATCCCGAATCTTGCCTTTAAAGAATGTTGAGATTTTGAGTTAGTTCCGTAAAATTGGCCAATTAGTCCATAGGGTAGCATAGCCATAGCCCATAGGATACTCCAGACGGCGAACTGAAAATGAGTTTCCTTGTAATCCTCTTCGAACAACCAGAAATTCCGCTACAGAATGCAATTGGCAGAGGCCAAAGCGTGTGTGGACACAGACCGCATGAGAAGAAGGCAAAAAAAATCCCTTCTCTTCCTCAGTTCGTGATACTATGTTGAGCCCACGGCTCATTCACAGGCAGGGCCTCATCTCCATCGCTGGAGCGTTTTCAAGGACCGCAACGAGGTAGAAGATGTTCTCTAAGAAACCAACCCGCGGATTCGTGAATTACCAGGCAATTTGCGCCTTGATTCCGCGCGGGATGCTTCACCTTATTACAGTCAACTCGCCGGCGTGCATGACGCCAGACCTTTGTAGCCCATGGCCATAATCCTTTTTCGAAGTTAGGTCTTTTTGTCGACATTCGTCGAAATTTTGTATAGAAGGGTAAATGAGGGGGCCGATCACGGGTACAGCGTCCGTTGTTGGCGTCGGGGCCATTTTGTGCTAGTTGGGCGTTGCGGATTTATTTCGCCAGTTCTTAATAGAAACCCCATTTGCAGGAGTTAATGATGGTCCTGACTGTGAAGCATAACATCAATTTCGGTGCTGGAGCCATTTGGTGCAGATTTGAAGGTTACAACCTGACCACCTTCCCACCGCGAATACGACAATCTTATGAAGCCTCTGCCCTTCCTTCAGACTGACCATTGATAAACTGATAAACGTCATTTTTGAGCAAATTCTGCAAGTTTTTTGATTTCGTTTCAACCAGTACCTTTCAATGTGCAGGCGATCTTCTGTAAAAGTCCAACAGATCACTACGAGGCTGTAAAACCAAACATATGCAAAAAAACCTTTTGAAAAAGCCGCGGCCTTACCTTGAGAGACCTCCCTGGGGTACCAGTAAATACAATGGTTTGGAAAAACGTTAGGTAGTAACGCGCTCTGACAGCCGCATGCGCAATACCGTACATGTTGTGGATGGGTGTAATTTAGTCTCAGAGAAGTACAAAGAAGTTAAGCGAGCTCCACCCATAGTGGGTGTGGCGTGCGTCAGATTGAGATATCGACGAAGAAAATTTCAAATGTTATACCAAAACAGCCTAGAACGCCTACAGAGCAGAAAAATTGTGTGAGACGCCAATGTCCAAAGGGTTCTCAAAAAGCATGACGTGCCCACAATGAGCGGACCGTGTCCTTAAGTAGACAGCGTTTCCTAGAAGCGCTCATAAATATCGGTCCGACTCCAGAAGGCGGGGACAGAGGTCAGAGAAGCCAGGAAGGCGTTTTATTGTTCGTGTTTTACCTTGTTACCTGGGGGGGGGGGGGGGGGGGGGAGGGGGAGGCGCGTGGAGTGCACCAAAGTGGGCTAATTTTCCTACCAACTTATAGCTCGGTTCCAAGAAGTCCTGGAAAACCTGAAAATTTAATATAAGCCAGCGAAGGGGAGTATCATGCCATTGTGGGTGGAACACGCGCAGTGGGCAGAGTTGCCCGCTAAATTAATAAACGTCATCGGAGATTGCCGCCAAATTAATAAACGTTCAGGACCGAGAAAAAGGCGATCAATGATTGACGAAGGTAGGTCCAAAAGCCATTGGTGGATGGGGCAAGCATCGTTGTGGGCGGGGCAAAAGCCCAAAACCGTCATATGGTTAAGAGATAGCACGGAGACTAAAAAAGCGGAGAGCCTGACTTGGACAATTTAGATATTTGTGGTAACCGAGCTAAATTTTAGAAATTACCGCACCGTCCCATATCGCTGCAGAACTGTATTCTGCGCGCAACAACGTGCCAGCTGGTTAACAATATTCCGGATCTAAACAGATACCTTTATTTTCTATATTAGCAATAGAAATATTACGGTTGTCAGAAAGCAACAGGAATGTGGTCGCGTGCATATCAAAAGGCACGACAACTTATACAAGTATATATTTCGTCTCACCGTACTCATACCGTACTAAGCGGGAAGAACGCACGGAATTGGTAACGGGATGAATAATCGTACATAATGATAAAAATGTAGAAAATATAGAACAATAGATCAATTCGAATTATAACATCAGTTATAGAACAATCATAGGCAATATGCGATATGAGAGAGACCGGACTGTAATAGTATAAGAAAACACTGTGAAAAACGAAAAAGCGCACGACAGGGCAGGAGCAAGGCAAACCGCCTTTTAGAGTGAGTTAACAGCTTGTAAAGTAGTTGACAATAAATCCACGAACACCTATCTCATCTCGGCAAATAAAGGTTAACATTGCCAATGTTTCAGTTGTATATAACCCAAGCCTACTTCAATCATGCGCATGTCGCCGTCGTTCTGCGTTGCACACACAAAGCGATATAAAATAAAACCAATGAGTGTATCAACATAAAGCGTTGCATAAAACAATTCTTTTCTGTCAAGACTCCTTAATCACAACCTTCAAGACGAAAATAAAAAGCAGCAGTTTAATTCCGTGTTCCACCTCATATGAAAGGTATCGCCTTCCTTCAGTAGGAAACCGCAACAGTGAGTGATGCGCTTGGCTCTGATTAATACCATATGCACCACCCTCTACAAATGAATTTCAATGGTTCAACCCACTACAATATTTTCTGATAAGTCATCATTAAGGATTGCGTGGTTGATCTCGTATGCAATCAAACTGGAATTGTAGCGAACTGCCACAAAATTTGCAACGGTCGTGCTTAAGGCATTCATTGACCGACATTGGAGTCAGAAATCAAATATGATCCTCATCCGACAGAGCTGAAGGGGTCCCCTTATGTAAGGTACCAACAGGCAGAATTTCGCATTGCAGTAGGAATCAGGATACGTTCAAAAACAAACATAAGAGAAGAAGAGGAAGGCATCGGCGGCCTCCGTGATCACATCAATGTGCATTTACAGCATTTCTTCGATCCCTGTCCCTGTCGTTTACCGCTTTCGGGATAACGACGGTTGATTTGCCGAATCAAGTCGTAGAACACCTGAAGAAGAACTGAAGCGGTAGGCAAACGATAAGTAAAAAATTGTGGACTGAATTATGTGAATACAGTGGAATTATTAGATTTTAAAAAGTGGCACCCACCACGTTCAGACTATCGGGAGCTCAACTCTTTTTAAATAAAATATTGACTGAGTTCTTAAAACGCCTACCTCGCTAACGTTAATTTTGGCTTTTGCTGACGTCTCTAGGAAAGCTGAGCCAAACTGACGCGCAAGATTCTGACCCTGGTCCTTACCAACGACACGCTCGTCTTCAAGATCACATTTGTTACCGACCAGAATCATTGGAACCTGAAATACTACGGCTTCAATTATTGAAGTTGAAGTGCCCAGTAGTGTCAGTTATGACAATAACAGCGTTGGAATGAACCTCATCAGTGTCTTTGACTCGAAGTATTTGATCGCGTAAGTCCATCAAATCGTTAAACGTTGACTGTGCTGTGATAGAGTAGACTAGAACGAATCCCTGGCCATTCTTCATGTAAAGATCTCGCATCGCAGTGAACTGTTCCTGAAAAACAGAAAGCTAGGAAGCTACTTCACTTCCATCAGCATATAAAGTAAGGTGTAAGAAAATGGCTGACAACATAAAAATGAAATCGCCCCCTCAGTTATCAGTAAAACGAGAACTACACTACTAGCCCATTATTTCATAATTTCAGTCCTTATAAAAAGCTTGATCGTTCACCCAAGACACCGCTTAGGGAAGTATTAACGACATCAATTTGCAATCACATCTGAGCCTCCGCAGGGGTAATTTCAGTAAGTCCAGCGATACATGACGCAGCGTTCAGAGTTCGCAAATTAAACATACAACAAAATTATACATCGCGACTACATCGAAAGGAATGCATAACTATCACCAGAAAGACCACCGACCCACCGCATCAACCCAGTGCTGATTGGGAGGAATCATCTCAATCAAAGCACAGCTAGTCCTTTCAGCTTCGAATGATTACATGATGGTCTTTCTTTCAGAACGATAGTATTCCTTCATTTCAGCGAATTCGCCAAGTGCCTTTAGCCGCGAACTCTTAGCGAGGACTAATTGTTAGGTACGATGAGTGATTCGGATGATAGTACATCTATTAGCGCACCTTTATCAACTTGGATTAGTCAATGAAAATGTAGTGAAAAGTGTAGCTCAAATTTTCAAGAGACACTGCGGTAGGAGTTAACGCTTGGTGTTAACATTAGTTTTCCTAAGACGAGACAGAAACATGTATAAGCAGTCGTGATGACGTCTTTTTTGCTTTCGGTCACTTGGAACGGGCACGATTTTGCAAGCGCCACCGTGGATTTTGTGTAGTAAACGAACAAAAACATTGATGGCTATATGATAGGCCTCTAATTTTGCTGGTTTCAAAATCCAAGCGAATGGTAGGCGAATATTAGTTGGCAGGCCACATGGGCTGCCACGGGAGCGGATGTGTTAATAATGAAAAGCTTAGAATTCAAACAAAGCCTACCGTTCCAGCTGTGTCAAGAATCTCCAACATACACTGCTGCCCGTCAACTTCCACTTGCTACAAAACATTCACTTATAAAGAGTGCACGAAACATTATGACCTTGGCATGATTAACACAAACCTTCCTATAGCTATCCTCAATGGTAGGATCGTATTTTTCCACAAAAATTCCTTGTACGAATTGAACCGTCTGGAAAGAAGGGACCTTTGAAATACTCACAGAACCAAGGATTTATTCACGAAGTTCAGACTTTGATCTCTGAGTATGGCATTTCGCTGCATTATGCCTAATGAAGGACTCAAACGGTTACGCAAGAATGAACTAATTCCGAATACTGCTGCTCTGGAAAAGGCCAAATCCACCAGCTGTCAACAATGCAAAGTGTGGTATATGAATTTATTCCCAAGTAATTTTCTAGGATTGAGCAAATGAAGCAAGAACTCAGGCACAATAGAGCATAGCATAGAGAGTAAGCAATGCCAACTGAGACCAGGGTCGGTTGCACCAATTTCAAAAATTTTACAAACACCCCCCCCCCCCCACTTACGACTTCCTGTTCACCACCTCACCACCATCACCTTTGCTGGAATTTAGTTTTAAAGACAACGTGACACACTTGAACCCCACTGCAATTTACTCCAAAACTGCCCGAGCAAGGAAGAGGTACGCACCATTTACATACAACCGTTATATGTTGTAATTCATTGGACTGCACTTTTCGTGGGAACTCCACCTTACGCACTAAAATGTCCCCTTCTCCCTTGACATGAACACCTTAACTCTATAAATATGGCCCCGTTGGGATTTTTCCAAGACGGTTGACCTAGCCAACCCCTGACGACACCCTCCGAAACCACATCACTCCCAGTCGTGATCGTTCAGAAGCACCAATGACCCTGGTCAAATTCGCAAAATAATTAATTATTGACATATTTATTCATTCCAGAGGGTACACTGCCTTTAAAAACCCTCTTCGCGAGAAAGCATGCAAACGCTGCCAAAAAAGATTTTGGGCTGTTCAAGACGTAAAGACGTTTGTGCAGCGATTTCGTTGAACCATAGTTTGAAAAGAATCCCAGAAAATGCATTGTGAACGTCATGTAGAGAAGCTATCATCAAATAAGTATCATAAGCAGTTGCTCCAAGTATGCAGAAATTTGCCTGAGCCCAGTTTCGTTTTCAAACTGTTAAACCGCAATCTTATAAAAAACAACAATAACTGAAGGCAAGAAAAAAGGTTGAATAGTACTCACCAATGCCGATTTTCCTACTCCACCGCTACCTAACACTACGATCTTGTACTCACGCATTATTTCTGGAAAAGAAAAATATCGTATGCATGATCACGATATGGAACAAAAAAAAACGGAAACGGTCCGGGGCTCAAATTGAAATAAAGCTGCAATTCTAAAAAAAAAGATTAGCACATCGGTCGACACAATAATGTGAAACATGAGCGTACGCAAGCAAAAAAGGTGAGTCAAAATGAGCTTGTTTTGTAAAGTTATAAAATGGGGATCAGTATACATAATTTCTCCTTTCTTAACCCATTATTCAGATATGAGTTAACCTGTGAGTAGGAAATACATTCTCAAATAGCAATACATCTGTCGTCAAGAGAAAGAATATTCAGTCACCGCTTATTACTAATCAGCAGCTTAGTTACTCAACTCCTCCTGCATGGTGGTGAACGATGAAAACAATGGAATTCAGAGCTCATAGTAAGTGAAAAAGCGGATAAATTTAAAAACATTACGTGAACGAAATGATATTGTGAATACGACCACGGATATGGAATACGTTATAAAGGAATGAATGTTGGAGTTTGTGGTTCCATATGGACGACCGCTTACATTACTTGCGCGTCATGGATGATAAACAATTTCCATCATCATCACAAACGAGAAGGACATGCCTATCGAAGCTCAGCCTAATCCACATACAAACATTGGAATACATTGTCTAATGCGATTTTTTTCACGCAAGAAGCGGAAGAAGTAATCTAAAAGGAGTTTTAACACTTAACAACATGACAATTAGAACAACGCCTTCCCGATATTCCCTTAAATCGACTGGTGACATAATTTACAGCATGGTATCGATTGGTATAATTTACAGCATGGTTATATTAACTGCACTGAGATGACTTATATTGTAATAAAAATATAAAGCTCGGTAGAAAACCGAACCGTTTAAACGGGACCAAAACTGGGTTCATGACCGCTTGACGGAGTGTCTGTGCGGGAGACCTCCATATGGTGGAGGCCGTGCGTTTAAGTTGCGAGTCTCAAGGGCATATAAGCGGTAGGAATAACATAAACACAACCCCTAACGATAAGCAGTGATTCTTAGGAACTCGTGATACAGCCAGGAACAGCCGCCGTAAAACGTTACGATCAAAAATACATCGCACAAATTTAGCAATGCGTTCATGACCTTCCAGACTATTCTTTTTTCCATACCATCTTCC